AAGCACTACTTCTATGTCTAGCAGACATAGAAGCTTCAAAATTTGAATACAAAAAGATTTAAATAGTTAGATGCGCCTTCACCTTGAAAACTGTGGCATTGTTTTTGGATGTGTTCGTTTGCAAGGACACTAATACAATAGTGTCATCTCTTATTATCTTACAGAAATTGTGTATACTACTTTTTCTGTCGCACAAATGAGCACTGATTGCAAATGAGTGAGCTCACTCATTTGAGAATGGACACATTTCGAAGTGGTCATACTATGGTAAGGGCGCATCTAACTATTTAAATCTTTGGTGTTTAGTGTATAAATCGAGGAAAAACTAAAATATTTTTTAATTTCAGTCCAGTTTTCTAGATACACCAACTGCATAAATAACTTTGTAATCCCATATAAATATATAGAATTACAAAGTTACATTTGCAGTGAATGAATCAGTGTACTTGTATATGTATAATATATAGGTACGTTGTTGGTATTCAAGAAGTAGAAGATAACGGAAAGGTAAAAAAGTAGGACTATCTTATCTACAAAAAGAAATGAGAAGCCATCAAAAACACCAACACCAAGTCGGTTAATTTATTCAGTCCCTACTTAAGGGTCCTTCTGTTTTAAGTTATTACGTAATTAGCTAAACTAACAACATTTTATAGTGAATATATCAATGTTAAAAATCTTTTATGTTTTGTTTAAGTACAAAGAGACAATATTTTAAAATAGTATAAGGGCAATATGGTGGTTTAACACAACGTGATTTAAAAATTGATCAAATTTGGTTTTTAAAATAGGTTTAATACTATCGAAAAATAACGGAGCACCAAGCAGGTATAGGGATTCCGCATTGACAGGTATTTGTTTCAAGACTAATATATTTTTAAAATTTTGAAAAATATAAGTAAGATCACTGAGGACGTCTTCTGCTTTCCTTCCCAGTGTACCGTCGTCCAGGTACCGGACATTCAGCTTTGATTTAAAATTTGAAATAATAGGTTGAATTCCCAAACTGAAAAGAGCTGGACCTAATGGATCACCCTGCTGAACACCGACAGCAGACTCAATAATATGATTTTGATAAAAGAAGTTCGAATTTTGACTGTAACATTGCCAAACGTAATGATAAATTTCGGGGGTATTGTTAGCCTCTTCTTTCAGCAGGGTTATCCTATCAATAGAGTTAAAAGCGTTTCTAAGGTCAATCTTCAGAAGAACATCTGCATTAGAATTTGTTAAGAAGGTACGCACCTAATGTACCGTCGCCTCACAGCCAGCCTTTGGTGCCGAAGCCTAGTTGAGTAGGTTGAAATTTTGTCTTAAGGTTTAAGATTATGTGCTGCAAGCTAGTTTTGTAGTTAAGCGTCAAAATGTGGAACCAACAGCATTAGGACCGATAACGTTATTCTTTTTTTGAAGGCACACAATCTTGCCCCATATAAGTAGGGAATGAAATTGGGATTGACATTACCAGAAAACATAAAATTACATAATTTTGTAATGTCATTAAGAAGTACTGTCTACCGGCGTCACCGGCAGACGTGTATGACAAGATTACGTCTAAAGTGTCTTTTTCAGAAATTTGTAAGGTATGTAACCTTACAAAGAAGAAAGAAGTATTGGGAGCCAGCGGTAAATTCTGAGAAGGATTGACCGAAGGATGTTTCTGACGAAGGCCTTCAAGAGTTTCGAAATTACGAGGAGCGAGGATGTCGTCTGAGAATAGAATACGGGATGCATTTTTTAAGTCTCCATCCATTACTTTCGATTCAACAACTTTTTTAAATAAAACTAAATTTTGAAAAGAACTCTCCTTTAGTTGAGACGTAATTGATTTATTTATTGTTTTATTAAAACGAAAATGGGAATACGCGAATGTAAATAATTTTTACTAACTCTTTTAACAATTCGTAAGACAATTTTGAATAGTGCATGACAATGCTTTAGCAAGTTGCATCCTCGCATCTCTGGGAATTCTTTTAACTACTGGTACGTTACTATGAAAATTGTACAATTGTTCCGAAAAAAGTGATAAATTTGTGTCATTAGGGATATTACCAGAAGAGTCATGAATTTCTACGGTAGGAAATACTTTTACTATGGCGTCGTTTAATGTGTATATTTAATCCCTTATTACCTTTGAACAGCCTACCGTCGTACAATTTTGACACCGTAGGGTATCCGGCTGTGAATGTATCGAAGCGTTAGTATTCATTGAAAAATTAAAAAAAAAATTTAAAATATATCTACAGCACTCAAAATTAATTTAAAACAGTAATTCAAAACTTTAATTTCGTATAATTAAAAACTTGAAAATTAAAAAACATCTAGTTCTCGAGCTTTGTTTATCGCCTTGAATCGCCTCGCCTATCATATTTTATTTGATTACAATTATTTTAATTTTTAATTCTATTTATAAGGTAGAACATACTGTTGCGCGCGTAAGTTGACGTCATGTACCCGGCACTAGCGCCATCTGTGTCGGGTAACGGAGCGAGGAGAGCTTTCCAGAAAATGACATCACTAATCTTTCAACCGACAGCGCCATCTAGTATCGAAACGAAGAACTAAGCTGCTGGAAGCCCGACACGCGAACTTTCGACGGCTTGTCGGTTGGCACGCGTATTTACTTGAATATTCTGGATGTTTCGGTGATAATGTGTATTTAAAGGCGCTGCAAGATGCGATCGGGGAAGTATTGAATTTGGCGAGACAAGCGAAGCTTCGGAGCGAAATAAAGTGAATCAGTGTGGTTAATTATTAGTGTTTTAAATTTTAATTAGTGTAAAGTGAATTAAAGTGTTAATTTTTTGGTTATTCAATCGGCAGTTTGTATTGTCACGAACCTCAAGCTCGTAACAATACGATCGAACAAACGGCGGCAAATTTAAAAAGCTAGCTAAGAATGTTTAATATAAATACACTTTAATGAACTAAACTACCACACTACGAAGACCAAAATTAAGGAAGTAGCTGTGTTAATTTTATCTAACTTAACGATTTCCTTATGGTGTTACAATTAGCGGGGTGTTCAGTAGCCGGTAACAATATCCAAGAGGGGTTTCATTGCGGCAATAATCTTTTGTCCCTTCCCTTAACTATATGAGTCTCGTCTGTCACCGGTGCGCACACACTCCGTTGAATTTACGAACACCTCCCATAATATACGAGCTTCCATCATAATTATTGTAGTTTCATATTATGTACTTACTTATTATATTCACAGAGTCAAATTTGTAACAAATGATTTGATAAATAACTAGATAATAGTGTAAGTCAAAGTCGTAGATATTTTAAACTACGCACCGGATTTTGATGCGTTTTTCATCAATAGACTATGAGTCAATAGGAAGGTTTATATGTATAATTCATGCATAATATGTTGTCGAGATCCAAAAGTAACCTGTACGAAGTGGGATCGTTAGTGATTAGTATAAATGATGATTATATTTTTGTGCACTCTTCTACATAAGCTGTTAAGAAGTTTCATTATTTTATTTACTTCCGATTGCATCTGGCACCCTAGTCCTTTTAGCATTTGAAACATAATTTACAATTTTTGGCTGACTACCAAAATCTTTTAGCAACTGAGAGCAAATGAGAGAAATAAGCTTGTTTTATTATGTAGATTGAAAATAATTAAGGAAATTGTAAACTGTTAGTAGAAAGTGAAAGTATATGACGTAAACTGGACTGCTTAAGGTTTAAAAATAATCCCACTTGCCCACTGTTTTGAAAGTTATAGTCACTTTCGTCTGACTATTAATCATTATGTTTCTTCTTCTTACTTAACAGCATATCGTGTATGTTATAACACAGTTGGTAACAAATATATCTTTGTGCAGGTTACATACTTCTGGGTTTTACTGTGATCATTGTTTTATATATTTCCGTCTTTTGTTGGCTATCTCAAAGACTTATTAACATTTATATCGTGGTATCCAATGCATTATAAATGGCATCACAAAATTAAACATCTAATGAATCTATGTCTGTTTAGAACCCCCTATAAACGTAGTACAGTGAGCACATAAAGGTTACTCAACCGGCTTCGCTATTCAGCTTGCAATGTTAGACGCTCGGTCGGACGGTGCATTACTGTCCAAGTGGAACGGAGCGTTTACCAAAATTATGTCGTGCAGCAAATCAATGTATACCTAGTAGTTGTTTAAAAAAGTAGTTATCGCTATTGCGAGATTTTGAAATCTACTAAGCAGGATTTCCCAGATCTTTATTTTCTTATATTAAGCACTTCTAAATGGAAATAAGTAATTATAGGGAAATAAAAGTCAGTTCACTCAATTTAATTCATATGGTCAACACTTTCAGCTGTTAGGTTTATAGGTATGTCTACCACCTCTGCGCATTCAAACATTAGTTTGTTTATTATATTATCTGTAAATGTTTCATTTAGGATCAGTTTTATTATACGACATCTTACATATTTTTCTTTGTGGAGTTTGGCGCTTTAAAATCTTATTTACAAATCTCAACTAATGCTAATAATTTGGGGATCGACTGTCGTAGCATGTCCATGTAACTGTATCGTTTAGTCTAACTCTAAAATACCCAGACAAAAAGCTCCAAAAAGACTAATGCCACGATCGCCATTTCGCCTTTCAAATGTGACGTTTATAGTAACACATTTATTTCAAAGTACACTATGAATGGGCTGATGTAGGGAAGAATAGCAGCAACTGAATTGTTTGTAAAGATAATTCTTTTTTTTTCGACATTAATTATAAACCTATTCCCGGACTATTCCTATTGTCACATACCTACTTTGATCGTTAAAACCCAAATTAAATTGACTGTTGATGAGACAGCGTTACCACCACCAAGGTTTTAGCTTGCACTCTTCAACCCGCTTTGATGTTTTTTTTTTCACGAACTATGTTCAGCTGTGTACTTATAAAGACTGATGTGCATGTGTATTTTAAGCATGATTAATAATTTATTAATTACAAGGCTTACGTTTTTAATGTTAATAATTGGTTTGTTCGCAGATGCAGAACATAAACAATATAGTGATGTTCCCAGTGGATAGTCTGCTTAAGGGTGATCTCAGGGGAGTCAAGGGTGATCTTAAAAGGCCATTCGATAAAGCATCCAAAGACTATGAGTCCAAGTACCTGAAAATTGAGAAAGAAAAAAAATCGCAGGCGAAGGAAGCCGGTCTTATTCGAACCGAGGTAACACCAGCTGAGATAGCTGATGAAATGGAAAAAGAAAGAAGACTGTTCCAGTTACAAATGTGTGAGGTAACAATAATCAGATTACTATGTCAGTAAACTGTAGACTGGAATTTGCTCAAAATAACGAATATTTTCATACCTGAATGAATGTTTCATAGTTAAATTTGAGAAGCTGATGATACTTGAACGGACAATGAAACAAAATATTTAATTCATAATTTTCTGAATGTTGATTTTATTAAAAATAAAACTATAATATAACTATAATAAACTATATATAGGAAGTGAAATAGTGTGTAACAGTTTGCATAGAACTTAAGAATTATTTCAATTGTTACGCGACTTAAATTCTTGTATATTTATACTTCAAATACATACTTTTTTTACCTAAAAACCAGAACAAGGTTACTCGAACTGTATCGTCAGTAAGTAATGCACGTTTTCTAGTCAAAATTGTATACTCTAACGATTGTTTGGGTATGCAGTTCATATTTACCTCGTATCGTACATGAGTTTTATTCTCACGACGGTCGAAGCCAAGTTTATTTTATTTAAAAAAAAATAGCCTTTACGATACTCTAATATTGAATTTACTTCGAAAGTCCATTCCGAACGTAACTCCACTCTCCAGTGCAATCTGAAACAATTTATTTTAGAACGTTAAAGAGTATCGGGAAATTTATGTTGGCATCTTATTTACTTAACTCTGAAAAAAGATATTACATTTTTTACTCCTGATTAATTTTCCCAAGCCTTAATATGAAATTTTTTAACAATAAAATACATGTTTAAATTATAGAATATGAATGACACCGAAATATTTATTAGTTAGGCCTACTTTAATTGGAACCTACGAATTTTTATTGTGATTGCATTCATCATCGTCATCATTATTATCATTTCAGCACTTCACAAGTCCACTGTTGAACATAGGCCTCTCCCAAGGAACGCCGCGAAGCAAGGTCCTGAACCACCTGCATCCATAGACTTCCTGAATATCTTACCAGATTTTTAGTGGATCTAGTAAGGGGCCGTTCTACACTTTGCTTACCGGTACGAGGTTGCCACTCGAGTACTTTTCTTGCCCATCGATTGTTGGTTCTTCGAGCTATATGGTCAGCCAATTGCCACTTTAGTTTTCTAGTCCGTTTTGCAATGCCGGTTACCCTAGTTTTACTGCGGATATCCTCATTTTAAGTCTAACACGCAGAAAAACCCCGAGCGTAGCCCACTCTATTGCTCGCTGAGCGAACTTGAGTTTCCTCATACGGCCAGCAGTGAAGGACCACGTCTCAGATCCATAAATCAACACAGTAGTTGTACAATCTCGTTTTTCAAGTTTTGAGGTATACCTGAAGAGAAGTTAAAGTTCAAAGTTAAGGTTACAGCCTATATATCTGAAAACCTCTTCCAATGCAGCGGTTAAAAATTTTCATGGATATAACGTCACCCTGTCTTACACATCTCTGCAGTTGGATAGTTTCGTTCTCTGGTTCTGTAGGTGCTTGGATACTTGGGTACTTGGATAACTATCGCAGGTCTACTATACCGAGTAGCGACAATTAACTCAGCATCGTTGAAGGAACTATTGCACCGCTCAAATTTCGAAAGGATTGCATTACGTTTCATTTTGAATGTTTACGCATAAGAACCTTCAGTTTTAAGTTTTTCATTAAATGTGTTAAGTCGTAACGATGTAGCCGTTTTATTTACAATAGAGCTTAAAAAATATAGAATGAATATCAAATAGCTATTTTTTTGTTTTTGGTTTTTTTTGAACGTTACACCCCACACTAGGATTTTCTCCTGTATCGCAGAGGCAGTTTACAAACATAAATTGCACGAGGACACACATCCAGACCCGGAACAGTTATTTGTAGGTCATACAAATACTTGTTCCGTGCGGGATTCGAACCCGCGGCCCCCAGCGCAGGCACTCATTGCTAGGCCACTGCGCCACGGAGCCGTCATAAATAGCTATCGTCATAAGCGTCATAAATAGTAAAAACAGAGAGATCTCCCTGTGGAATAAACGCAACGCTTAACCGTCATCGGTCCTAAAAGAGCTCTATTCTTAGCAGTAGTGTTTAAAAACAATTTAGGGCAGGCCGATATAATCTATTCAGTTTTATGTTAACGCAGACAAGCGCAGGTTCTATGAGATTACTCGGCAGTTTCACGAATGGGTTAGCTTGAATGATCATATTTCCCGTTCTTATTCAATATAATGAATTAAATTATTTTCTTCTTCATCAGTCCATAAAAGTTGACTCCCTCATACCAGACGATTCGTACGTATGAGTATTTACGCCCAGTGTAAACGAGATTATTGTAACACCGTCTATCGGAAAAATCTTTTTGGCATATACCATAGTCGCGTTTTACGACACCCGTGAGACGAAATGTTTGTTGATGTTGATTTTTTTTATATTACATGTATCGCATTATTGTGATATTAAAAAAAAACAACCTATTATAACTGAAATAATTGAAATTTTATTAAATCACGTATTTTACAAAGTTATTTTTGAGAAAATCTTTAATTACCACTTCTTTATTAAGTCGCTTTCGTTTGTCTGTTTGATTTTAAACTAACTTCTCGATGAGCTACAGAGAGACGTAACATTTTGAACATGAACTTTAATCATCAGATAGAATGACTGTAAGAAAATGAAAAAAAAAAATGTTTTTATACTCTACCGTTTTAAAAACGTTCTTTTGTAAATAAATTGAATATAAATTATGCATAAACTTCTTATACTTAAATATGCATTTTGCGGCATGACTGCAGCTTAGGAGAATACATTAATCTGGTGTCGAAAGAGTCCACTTAGGAAAATGCCAGCTACGCGCCAAATTTAGTTTTTGCTAGGTGATAGAATAACTTGGGCTGTTTATATAAATTTGAACGGCTATGGTGCAAGAGGTTTGATAGATGATTGCCAATTTGCCTGCCAAGCTTAGTAATTGAGGCAAATTCTATCTTTTGTATTAATGTTTATATCGTGCAGTTGATTGGATCAATTGTTAACAATATTACGAAGGTTTGAATTTTAAGTGAAATGGTGTAGTTATGAATTATTAAGTACCTCCAAGTCTATTTAAAATATTTTATTGATAACAGCGCTTCAATTCTTTTCTTAATTTCTGATTATACCAAAAGTGATACTAAAGTTAAACTACTCGTAAACGTGTAAATAATAATTATGCCCTGGCGGCTTGGAGTCCAGGGATACCAACTGATATTTTACCAAGTGAATTATAATTTCTTATATGATGTCAGATTTAAAAAATAACTTTAGGTACTTGATTTCTAATTATTTTATCCATATATTTGTAATTATTTTATAGTCTATCAAAAATATAGTACCTACGTTTAAGTTACATATTTCCATTACATTAATTTATTAATATTCTAAAGATCATTTTTATTCCGATTTTTTTATTAGTATAAAACAATTTGACTGCATTTTAAGTAATATAAGCCCTTACATATCGTTACTTGATGTGAACTTTATATTTACAGAAGCTTATGTAATTGTATCAAATATTTATATTTACAGCGCGTGCGAGTTGTGTGAATGACCGACCTTAAACAATTCCACTTGCAGACCCCCCCCTCCCTCTTGCCTCTACTATATTATGGCGCTCCTCTTACTTGTTTGTTCAATGCAATATGCAATTACACCATTCACTAATGCAGATATCGGGTTTTGGTCGCCAGCTTTACGTCTGTTAAATAAACCACCTTATCGCGGTTATTTTATCGTGGTTAATTATTTATTTTAATTTATAATGCTTTAATAAGTCATTGCTTAATAGTTTTACAATTATAATTATAATATAATATTCGATGACATGGTAAAATATATTAATCTTTCTATCTGTCATATATTTAGTTTTGGATACTTAATTGTTTTGTAAATGTCTTCGGGATAAGTTCCGAATATTATCGGTAATCTATACTACGTGCAATATTAATATAGTGCTACACAAGTAAAATGTTTACACAACCAGAGGTATTCTGATACCCTACCTGATTGAATTTAATTATATTATATAGTTTATATCAACGGCTCCGCGGCGCAGAGTTAAACAAGGAATTGCAGCGCTGGGAACAGCGGGTTTGAATCTCGCACTGAACAAGTATTTGTATGGCCTCCACATAGTTATTCCGGGTCTAATGTGTTTGTCTTTGTGTAGTTTATGTTTGAAAGCTACCTCTATGATACAGGAGAAATCCTTAGTGTGGGTAACACACATTAAAAATAAATAAGCTTTCCACCCCCCCCGGTTCCAAAAATTATGGCCCCCCTTTTTTTTTAAAATTTTTTAAAAAAAAAAGCGGGGAAAAAAAAAAAAATATGACGTTACGAGTTATGACTATTCGGAAATCCCGTTATCTTCGTCTACCAAAGTATTATATGGTATGCAGTATGGCTGCCAGTACATTTTTATAACTTTTTAGCAAGCTTCCAAATTATACGAAATTGATATTAAGAGCACAAACAGAAAGTTGTAATGAAAACCGAAACAAAATTTAATTGAACTTACGTTTAAATGATTGAATCGCCATACGTTTAAATATTGCCTCATATTTGCCATAGTTGCCACGACTGGCAAGCGGATTAGCGACCGCACTTTTTTATTTTTAGTCGTTATTATGAAGACGCTGCTGAACATCTGATTTGATTCTCTCTGTCGCCTTTTACGATGCCCACGGGATGTTATGGGGTAGTCGACATTCTTACATTGCCATTACACGGTATTACAAGCTCCTTTACAATTACTTCGTATGCTATTAGGTTTCGAATTTCGAAAAAAGTTCGATAAAATAAAAGGAATTAGTAGGGTCCGTGATGCAAACAACGTACAAACTGCCACTAACAGGTTATGTGATCATGTTTATAATTATACAATCTGGCAGCTCTTGACAAGGTAATTCACAAAATCCGTCGTAGAAAATGGGGTACGCAATAAAAATTTCCTACGAAAACGACACGTAAGCATGTAATGATGCAAGTACGTTGACAATGACATTCGTTTGATAATGTGAGTGAAATGTT